TGTTCCGGAATAGCCCACATTGGAATTTTTAAATTAACCTTGCATGAATACTTTTTCCAAACTCTCAAAAGTGCAACCCTTAAAATATGAGATTTAAAAACCCGATCAATTTTCTTATCAAAAAATAAGTAAGCATGCCATCCATAATATAAATCCCAACCTTCAAGTATCAAAATATCTCTATTAGTTAAGTTAATCCAATCACTAATCCAGGTTAATACCACTGCTTCATAATATAATTTTAAATTAGGGGCTTTAAGTCCCCCTCTTTCCCGTGCATCTTGCAAAATTTTGAATTTTACCCTAGGTTTTTTCCCCTGCCATATAAACCTATTGATGCCTCTTTGCCATTCCTCCAAATTTGAATCCTTTTTTAAAATAGGTATCATCTGAAACAGGAAAAGAAACTTTGGGAGAACATTCATTTTAATCACTTCAATTCTTCCCAATAATGATAACTGTAATTTCTTCCACTCCATCAAATCCTTTTGAACTTTTTTCCATAATTTATCATAATTATTTTTATATAATTTAGCGTTAGAAGCAGTAATATCAACACCCAAGTATTTCACTTTTTTTACAATTTCAAAACCAGTTACATTACTTAAAATTTCTATATCTTTCATAAACATATTTTTAGCTAATATTTTAGTCTTATTATTATTTATTTTAAATCCAGACACCTTCCCATAATATGTCAATATCTGTAACAAATTTCTTGCCGAGTCAGTTGGTTCCGACAAAATAAAAACCAAATCATCTGCAAAAGCTCTAAGCTTATAGTCATTGTTACCCAAAGTTATTCCTTTTATAAGTGAAGACTCTCGAATCTTGATTAATAAAATCTCCAAAGTCAGGATAAACAGTAACGGGGATAATGGACAGCCTTGCCTAGTGCCTTTTTCAATTTTAATTGAATCTGTCAAACCCCCGTTTACAATCACTTGAGCAAACTGTAGTTGATAGATAGCCTTTAACGCTGATGAAAATCTATCCCCAAAGTTCATTCTGTCAACCAACCGTAACAAAAATTGCCAGTCCAACTTATCAAAAGCCTTTTCAGCATCCAAGAAGATAAGGGCCGCCGGAATTTGATTATTCTTATCCAAATACTCCAACAAATTCACAATTTGTCTAACATTGTTCTTCATATATCTTCCATTTATAAATCCAGACTGATCCACATGAACAATCTGTTTCATTACTTGCATTAGTCTATTAGCTAATATTTTTGCAAAAATCTTATAATCCGTATTCAATAAAGATATTGGTCTATAACTTTTAGGTTGGGTCGTATCTTGATCCTCCTTTGGTATAAGTGAAATAAATGCACACCTCCAAGATGGTGGTATTTGTCCCCCCATTAAAATATCATTGAAAAGACATCTCAAGGGTTCTAACATTTCTTCAGATAGTTTTTTATAGTAAATTGCAGTAAACCCATCTGTACCAGGGGCCTTTCCCACCTTCAGTTGTTTAAATGCCTCTGCAATCTCTTCCAAAGTGATCATACCGTTCATCAATCCTTTTTGATCCTCAGAAAGACAAGGCAGATTTGCTTGTTGTAAATAATTATCTATTTCATCAGGTTGTATATTCTCAGAGGCATACAAATTAGAAAAATATTCTGAAAAGGCCCTTTTAATCAGTTCCTGTTGAAAAACTTCTTTGCCCTTATAGTTCATTTTCTCAATAGGTCTTTGTCTTTGTTTCTTACGTAATTGGTAGGCTAACCATCTTCCAGGTTTATCTGCATTGCAAAATGTATTATGTTTCATATATTTCAAATTAATAGCAATTTGATCAGAAAGCAACATATTATACTGTTCTTTCAACATTACAATAGATGCCTTTAAACTCTTATCCATTGGATTTAAGGAGAAAGCTTTTTCCTTTATTTTTATCTCTTGCTCCATACCTTTGTACTTTTGTTGCTGTTTTCGCTTATGAGCAGAGTTCATTGAAATTAAGGCACCCCTCATAACTGCTTTGCTTGCATCCCAAACCATCGATATAGAGGTGCCTTTATTCATATTCAACGCAAAAAATTCTTTTAAATGATCTTTAAGTTTCTGCACATTTGTTTCATAATTCAATAAATTCTCATTCAGTCTCCAAGTCTTTCTACTATTTCCATCAATTGAAATCTCCATCCATACAGGACTATGGTCCGACAATATCTTAGAGAAAATCTTCACCTTCTTAATCCTAGGAATCAAATCAGTAGTAATCAAAATAAAGTCAATTCTGGAGTAAGATTGATGCCTATCCGAAAAAAAGGTGAAATCACTTTCTCCCATATTCCTTTCACGGCATATATCTCTTAACTCAAGGTCTTCCTGTAATGCAAAAAAACTTTTAGGCAATTTAATTTGCATTGAAGTTTTAGCTGAAGTCTTTTTATCTCTTTTTGGATCTATTACACCATTCCAATCACCCATCATGATAACAGATTTATAATCCAATTGCATTATCTTTTGATGCAAAAGAGTGAAAAATTGCTTTTGTTGTTGATATAAATTAGGTGCATATAAGCCCACAAGAAGACATTTTTTCCCATTCAAAGTGGTTTCAACAAATACAAATCTTCCTTCTGCATCAGCATCTATTAACTTTGGCATCAGTTCCTTCTTAACATAAAGAACTACACCCGCTTTTTTCTTTTGAGCAGAGGCTGCAAAATGTTACCCCAATTTAGGATTAAATAAAAACTTTTGGTCTTTTAATATAATGTGTGTCTCTTGTAAACATATAATATCATTCTTATGTTGCTTCAAATAGTAAAATATTTTTCTCCTTTTTTGTGGTGAATTCAATCCATTAACATTTAAGGTTATTAATTTAGCCATCCTTAGGCTTTTGGAGCTTCTGAATCATCCCTTGAAGATCCATCATGACAGATCTTTTAGGTCTGGCCCCTCCCACTGGCTTCGAAGTAGTTGAAGATGTTTGAGGGATAGCCTCTTTCTGTTGCTCTCTTTCCATACGCTTGTGGGCCGCATGTGTCATTCTCTGATCTTTTGGGTCCTGTTTTGCCTCCAACATTTGTAAGTTCTGAAAATCTCCAGCAGATAGCGACATAGCTCCAGGCAGATCCACAATCAGTTGTTCCACTCCTTCTTCTGTTCCTTTAACTGGTGATATAGAAGATGACTCAGCTTTCAGAACCGTTAGATAAAAGTGTTTTGCCTTCTGTACTGTGTTGAGTCTATAACGGTTCCCAGCGAATGTGAAGGCCATTCCAACTGGTATTTCCCATCTAAAAGGTATTTGCTGCTTCTTCAACTTTTGAGCCAAAAAAGCAAACTCCTTTCTTTTTCTTAAAATCTTTGAAGGTATTTCTTTCAATAGTATAATATCCTGAGCAGCAATCTGAAATATCTGTTGGTAAAAGGTCTGTATAATTTCATTTTGACGTACTTTTCTAGAAAAATAAACAACAACATCCCTTGGCTGATTTCTCTGACGTGCGACCCATGAATTGACTCTAAATATTTGCTCAATCTCTCCATAGATAATTTCAGGGTCACAGTCTAAGACCAACACCAAGGCAGCTGATACCTCTTCTCTGAGTTTCTCCTGTGCATCCTCACGCAAGCCTCTGATTCTTATTGCGTGTTCCATCTCTCTGAATTGTGTCATCACAATGTCATTTTGAGTAATTTCTATACTCTCTTCTACTTTTCCCATTCTCTCCTCCATCCCTTCCATTTTTTCTCCCACTTCCTCCACCTGAGTCTCTATACGATCCATATGAAAAGCAACTCCCTGAAAAATTTGAGACATGCTCTCACACAATTTATCATTCTTTTTGGCAAGAAGCTCTTCTGTCTCCACTTTCATTTGTTGCACAATTTGTTTAGACATCTGCATCTGCATCAAAGAATCCTGCAGATCCTTTAAAGTAATATAAGGTGGTGAGGAGGATGGAGTAGTTTTAGCTCTCTGATGCGTAGTCTGTACAGCTGGAGAGGAAACAGCTGGCTTAGATGCTGCAGGAGCTGCACCTCGTTTAGCAGCCATTCTTACATTTGTAAAAAGTCTTAATATACAGTCCAAAGCAGCTAAGGATCAAACAAATTTTCCTTTAATTTTTCCTTAATTTTTGAGAATTCTTTACAGTCTTAACAATGTAGCAATCCACAACCAGAAGGAAAGTGAAAGTGTCTCTTTAGAACAAAGAAGCGGCTAAGCCGCGGCCATTTTTTTTCCAAAAGTTAACTTTCGATTTTCAGTCATTTGAGAAGAGTACTTTAAGCTTCTGAGTCAAAGTTTTAATTTCTTTATAAAAGGTCCAAGTTTCCTAGTTAGCTCCGTCTGTTAAAAGTACTCACAATTAAATTCAGAAAAAACATCAGAGGTGGAGATGGCGTCTGGCTTCGCTGATAGCGAAGACGTCCCGATCTGCGAAGGAACTCTGAGCTCCGGAAGAGTTCTCACCTTCGCCTCGCTGGGAACACCCAGGGAGACTAGGGAACTCGACTCCTACTCCAGAGTAAGCTCTCCTTCTCTCCTTTGCCCGGAGAGAAGTTTCAAATCGCCAAACAGCTGATACGCGCTGTTTTGGCGATTTTTACACAGTCCCGGACGGGAGGCTGTCAAACAACCTCCTTCGGCAGCCGCCGAGCCACCGGAAGCCAAAAGCTTTTCAATCTTGATTCTAATTCAGTGAAACACTATATGAAACATATGTGAAAAAGAAGCCTGAATCTCCTAACTCATTAAACTGCAAGAGTGATTCTGTCAAGAAGCAATTAGACATTTTAATATCTAGAAAGGCAATTCAGAAATATTTTAATTGACTTACCTGTAACCAACAACTAAAATCAAGAATCTTCCCATGATTCATTCATGAGCTAGGAAGAAAACAGCAATCAAACTCAACTCAAAGGGAATTTTAATTCATTATTGCTTGCCTATGTGCGGAATAATGCAACCCACAAAATAAGAATAGGAAATAAGATTCAATTAAAGCTCTCTACTTTCATTCTTGTTTTCAGATTTAAAAAATTCCATTGAAGATGTTCTACCTGTTTTAAAGGATGAAGGGGTACAAGTTTTCTATCTCAGTGACAATTCCCCCTCCGATGGTGTGGAAGCGCTACTTGGACAGGTTAAATTGACCTCAGAGGAACCTGTGCCTGCTTCCTACAGAGCCCATATAACAGCTAAATCTACATCTGTGTACATTTTTACCTCTGGGACCACAGGTAAGGAGGAACAATTTTGGAATGTATTGTATGTCTAAAGGATTAAAGAGAAAGTCTGGGAATCTCTGAATATCTCTCCATTTGAAGAGTGGCTGATATATATTAAAGAAGAATGAAACAGATGTGCATTATGTCAAGTGAAAAATAGCCTCATCTTAATTGCAACCTACAGTCCAGGACTGTATCTGAAACTCTTTTTTGCAACTTTTGAAATAATCTCTACCTACTTGCTTTCTGCCATTCTGAGATAGGAAACATACAAAAACATAGTCCATGACTTCAAATAGGCTTAGTGTAATATAATTTATTAAAAATCTATCTTACAAAAAAATTCAGAAAATTTTGCAGAAAAAATCCTCCTCAAGACAAGGGGAACCCTCCCCCAGAAAATCACAAAGCCTATTTTTATCATTATTATCATCATCAATAGGCTGTGGCTTTGAGTTACCCACATGTTAAATGACTATATATTTGTGAAGTTAATTAAAGCATTATCAAATCTACTTTCAGCTAAGCCTGACTCCTGGTGACTGTATGGATGCATACCTGTTGTTTTCTTAGCAACTTACAGAAGTAGTTTGCCAATGCCTTCCAGTATCTTTTGGTCACATTCCAAGATTAGTTTACAGCTCGGGTGGTCTCCCATTCAATTAGTAATTAGGACAGATGCAGTTTAGCTTCTGGGAAAGAGGTCAAGATTAAATAAGTGCTGCCCCATAGCTAGAGTTTTCCTTATGCTTCCTTCCTTTTCCCTTAAGGATTACCAAAAGCTGCTATCATCAACCAAATGAAGTTGCTCATGATATCCAACATATTCACTTTGTGTGACGTCAATGCCAAGGACATCATCTACATTCCGCTGCCACTGTACCATTCAGCTGGGCTTCTTATTGGAATTGGAGGGTGCCTGGAGGTTGGTACGTATCACCTATCCGTCAATAAATATATCAGAGCTGTGAGAGTAACAGGGTTAAGGAAAGAGAAGAGAGCTAAAATATATCAATAGTTTGTTTAACTATTTTTTTTAATGTAAGTTATTTGACTTAGAAGTCTCTGGTTACTGGGTTGTCTAAATCAGGGCTTTTCAAAATTTTCACAGATTGTACCATTTTTAGGATATGACAATATTCGAGTACCACCAGTGCTTAGCAAGGTGTCAAAAACTGAATGACTAAAAAAGAAGGGAGGATTTGGGGTTTTACTGGTTAGATTCATTTGCTGTTATAGAAATGGCTAGTTTATAATATTATGGGAAAGTAAAAAGTTGAGATTCAATGTTAATGCTTCCTTCTACTGCAACAGAGAAAGTCAGAAGTCTCTCTCCCTCAGCCTTCGCTCGCAAAAGCCCCTCACGCGTTCTCTCCCTCAGCCTTCGCTTGCAAAAGCCCTTCGCGCTCTCTCTCCCTCAGCCTTCCTTCTCAAAAGCCCCTTGCGCTTTCTCTACCTGAGCCTTCACTCGCAAAAGCCCCTTCTGGTTTTGCTCCCTCTGCTTTCCTTCTCAAAAGCCCCTTGCACTTCTCTCCCTCGGCCTTTGCTCGCAAAAAGCCCCTCACGCTTTCTCTCCCTCAGCCTTCGCTCACAAAAACCCCTCGCGCATTTTCTCCCTCAGCCTTTGCTTTCAAAAGCCCCTCGCGCTCTCTCTCCCTCAGCCTTCCTTCTCAAAAGCCCCTTGTGCTTTCTCTCTCTCACCCTTCGCTTGCAAAAGCCCTCCCTCTCACACACACATTTTATCCCAAAAGCATTTCCTCTCTCTCTCACACACATCTCCCCCAAAGCCTTTCCTCTCTGCCTCTCTCACCACTTCTCTGATAAAAGTCTTTTCTCTTCTGACTCTTTCTCTGGTGCCTTTCCCCCCTCTCCCTCTTTTCAAAACCGGTGGTATGCGTACCACCGGTTGAAAAGCCCTGGTCTAAACATGGATCATGGAAAAGAAAGAAATATGGTTTATTCCAAAGTCTACTGTCAGTGTAAAATTCTTAGTGCACATCATTTGATATAACTAAATATGGAATTAATAAACAAATATACTCCAAATAGGAAAAAATGGTCAAAACAACATCAAAAAAGGAAGGATGCCATTGACAATCCAGACCACCCCAATATGGTTTCTTCCAGAAGTATTGGGACAACAAATTCCCAGAATCTGCAAACCACATATCTAATCCCAGCATTTGGAGAAAATAGAGAAAGAAAGGGACAAAATTTAAATAAGTCAAAAAATATGCCTTCAAGAAAACACAACGAGTCATTTGTTCAAAGCAATCAATGGACAAAAACACTTGTTTTGGTTTTTCCGAAGTACTGAATTCTTTAGTGACCACATTTTATTTGGAAGAAAAAAACAGCTGTCAGACCTCTTCATTAAACGCTGGTTTTCTGCTGAAAACAATCTTCGATTTGATTGGAACATATTTTTTCTGTGTTTTGCTATACTATGGCATCTGTCCTTATACAACCTTCTTTGTTTTTTTTTTCACAAGGAGCTACATGTGTTTTAGGGCCGAAGTTTTCTGTTTCAAATTTCTGGAATGACTGCAGGCGATATCAGGTTTCTGTAATCCAATATGTGGGAGAAACAATGCGCTATTTATGTAATGCACCAAAGGTAATCAGAAAAGGCATATAAATACATGAATGAATGAATGAATGAATGAATGAATGAATGAATGAATGAATGAATGAATTTGGGGAAGGGAGATGAAGGTTGCAAAGAATAAATATGAATAATTCTGCTATTTTCCTTGTATCTTGGGTATATCACTTCATTATGCATACATAAATACTCCATGTACACATTAACTTCTGCATTCATACATTCCTGAAAACCCTGCCTTTTCTAATCTTACACTTGGAAATTAGGCTTTAACTACCTCCAATGATCTCAACAGGAATTTATTTTGAAGCCCTATTGTCTCTGTGGTTTGTTTTGAGGGAACAATATCTCAGTCTCCAATAGCATCTTTGTTCAAAAATACCCTCCCAGCTACCTTGAGGCTTTGGCATTTCTCCCTTGATCACAATGGACTTTATGTTAAAATAACATTGTACTTTACACCTGCGTTTTTGAGGGGTGGGTTTAGCATTCTGGGATAGGGGTTAGCCCTCAGAAAGGGAGGAGAACCTATGCACTATGAGCTTAATGGAGTATATTTATAACTTTGCCTAAGAAAATTTCTTCTTTGCTGTCACCTGCTGGTATGAAAGAGCTAGAGGTAGTGCTCAAATTGTGATGTAAGTCATGATGGTTGTCAAGGTTGATTGGACTTGATTTTATGACCTTTTCCATTGTGGTTGGTTGCTAAACAAATGCTGTGGTCATTAAGTGAACATTGCAATCGTTAAACAAGCCCATTGTTTGCGTTGGGGCAGTTTTTGCAAGAAACTGGAAGTAAACACTAATTTCTGGCAAAACTATTGTAAATTGTGATCATGTAACTATGGAGTGCTGCAAACAGCCTTAAATATGAGCTGATTGCTGAGTGCTCAAAATTTAGTCATATGACTAGGGGGACAGGTCATAAGTAGCTTTGGGGGAGTCTGTTGAAACTTCAAATAGTCACTAAATAATTAGTTGTAAGTTGAGGACAATTTGTATTTTCTTTTAGTTCAGACAAAAAAAATGTGGGGGGAAGAAAAATGAGTAAGGTCTTAAAGAATGATTGGAGCTTGGTGAGAACCAAATAGAAAGCACAGAATTTCTCATAGGTTGCATTCAGACTGCAAGCAAAAGATTTTCCAGTCTTGATGTATATGCAACAAAGATCACTGCAACCATTCCTGCCAATTTAGAATTAGGGTGTGCAATGTGCATGTTGAAAAAGTACACCATCAAAGTCATTGAATATTGTACATGTTTTTTCTATGCATCCTTACCTACTGTAATGTAGCAATCTAGCCAAGATATTTTAGAAATTAAAAATAATCTTTTGACTCTTATTTAGCATAGATGATCAAGAAACTATATATGAATAAATGTTATTAAACATTGTAAAGATTTTCTTGCTAACTCACTTTGCAGAAGGACAATGATCGTGATCATAGAGTGAAACTGGCCATAGGCAATGGCATGAAGAGAGAGGTCTGGAAAGAATTTCTGTGCCGATTCGGATGCCTTAAGGTTTATGAATTCTATGGAGCTACAGAAGGCAATCTTGGCTTTATTAACTACACTGGGAAAGTTGGAGCTGTAGGAAGGATTAACTTCCTTTATAAGGTAATAAAATTAAACTGGGATGTTGTAGACATTTTTGATGAGGATCTGGGAAGCTGATGGATGAAAACACAATTCCAGTTACAATTCCTTCAATTTTGTATTATTGCTTGAACTTTGATTCTTATAATTCAAGTTTGTTTGGATTTTATAGGAATTGTTTTGTCCAGAGAAGTGCTTTATTACTTTTCTAAGGTTAGAAGTCTGGCCTTAAATTAAAAAATTATTTAGCAGTCGAACCCACCTTTTCAATATCTACAGTATATCAGTGTTTCTCAACCTTGGCAGCTTCAAGATAGGTGCACTGGTTGGGGAATTCTGGGAGTTGAAGTCCACCTATCTTAAAGCTGCCAAGGTTAAGAAACATGGATCTATGTACATGAATGCTAAAAGAAGCTCTTAGTTTTAAATAGACATAGTGTTGTATGAAATGGCATATACTGCAGATTCCCAGTATGGGGCCATCTCACTAAATGATGAGATAATATTGTTGAGCATTATCAGAAACTAAAGGCTGTCATATTTATACACAACTAAATATAACTAAAATAAATATGTGCTCCTTCCTTCTGTTTGCACATTTCTCTTTTTCCAATCATCTCAGATTTTTGGTAGGAATTCTCTCTCTCTCTCTCTCTCTCTCTCTCTCTCTCTCTCTCTCTCTCTCTCTCTCTCTCTCTCTCTCTCTCTCTCTCTCTCTCTCTCTCTCCCTTCCCTCCCTCCCCCCTCCCTCCAATGTCATATAAATAAACCACCCATCTCCCTTTAAGAGGGACTCTTTAGTTAATAAAATGTTAACATGTTAGTTTAGCCTCTGTAAATGATAGTGATTTTGCAATAGTTCAAATTCCTAAGATCGCTAGTACTGTTTGTGCAGCAATGCATCAGTTTCTAGGACTGAAGCCAAGGACATTTGGAGCACAACTAAATCACTGGAATAATATATTATACCTTGTAATAGTATTTACCATTTGTTTACACTGAAATGTGTTACAGGTCCTCCATAAAGACTATAACAATCCTGTAAAGGACACAATATTATTATTTCAGACAAATAGATAATGAACATGACAAAGAAAGATGAGATTTGAATCAAACACCTTGTGATTAATAGCTTGAGGTCTTTGAGATAATATTATAGATCCATCAATGATGATTTCCTATTCTGAATTCCCTTCATGGCAGATCTTTGCTTCTACTTGTTTTAGTTACATTATTTGGGGCAAATGTGATAGGAGAACTGGGACCTAGCACAATTATACCCACACCAAGGAAAAGAGAATGGAGAGGGACACCTTGTTCCATTAATGGAGTGACATCCCCATTTGGAAGAAGCCCAAGGAAGGGATTAGTTTTTTAAAATCCATGAACTGAACAAATATTGTTGTTCTGTTATGTAATAAAGCCCAGCCTTCCATGAGGCAAGGAGAGATTTCACACATCTTTGATACATTGCTTCTTCTGCCCCAAAAGTATTAGCTATTATAGCAGCTATCTTACATCGCTAGGTGATGTACAGCTTATTGTTAATGATCACAACCAAATCTTTTTCTGGAGTAATGCTTCCAAGCTATGAATTTTGCATTTTGCTCTTTAAAAAATAATGTTTCCCTGTTGAAGGACAACTTGTTCCTCTCCCCACAGTCTTTCAACCTGTCCAGATTAGACTCTGGATAGGTCTCATCTATCATTCTGGACATTGGTTACATCTTTCAATTTTTTGTCATCAGCAAATTTGATAAGCAGGTCATCAGTTTTGTTATTCCAATATTAATGAAAAGATTGATTAATATTGGCCCAAAATAGAACCTGCAGGACATCTCTGCTTTCTGCTCTTTACCTACAGCTATTAATGCTGAATCTCTGAAGTTAAGTAATCAATTTCTTTGCTGAAACTGAGGTTAAAACCCCCCCCAACATTCTCTGTATTTCTTTTGAAGAAGAGATAGGACAACTATTTATCTGAAATAGTGTACGGTTTCCTGCTTGAGCCAAAGGTTGGACTAGAAGTCTTTCAAGGTTGCTTCCAATTGTTGTTCTGTTCTGTTATTTATCTGCTAAGGTAGTTGCTTTGTCAAAGAAAGAGACAATATTTGTTCCATCTGATATATTCTGGACAATATCATGTTGATTCCTTGCAATCCTGACATTGTCTTCAAGGTGCTTACAAAAGCTCTGTTTTATCATCTGCTCTAACAACTTTCTAGATATTGATGTTAGATCACTGCTTGATGATTACTAGAATCCTTACTAGAATCTGGCACCTTTGCAGTTCCAAGTTTTTTACAAGTAGTTTGTCATTGCCTTTCTCCTAGGTCTGAGGGATAGTGACTGTCCAAAGTTATTCAGTTGATTTCCAGTGTTAATTAAAAATCTCTCTCTCTCTCTCTCTCTCTCTCTCTCTCTCTCTCTCTCTCTCTCTCTCTCTCTCTCTCTCTCTCTCATTGTTAAAATTGGCCTTTCTAAAATCCATGGCATGCATTTAACTGGTTTTTAACTAGGTTTTTTAAATGTATATTAAAAATGGGAACTTTAACAATGGGTCATTTGCATTCAGAGTCTCCAGCACTTTAACACTATTAGCCAATTCCTTCTTGTTAGTAAGGACCCTATTTAGATTTCTTGAAGCCCATATGAGGTTTGTCATACCTATGATATGATTGAAAGTATATTTCTTCCAATTAATTCTATGGAGATTTTTTTAAAAAGAATTTTGGTAAGAATTTTACATTATTTTTTAAAAAAAATCTGGCATGGAAGAAAGAGAAATCAACTAAATGTGCAATTGAGTCTATGATATCTTTGAAGGAAAGACATCATATGAGAACATACAGAATCCTGAAAAACGTAGAGAGGGAGAAAGTTATCATGTCTCTTAGAATTTCATAAAAGATTATCACTAATATTATAGTGATGAGTGAGATGAGAAATATTTGCATTTTCAAGTCATCAGAGAGTTGGGCAAATTTCTAAGGAACAACACCCCCCTCCTATATTCTGTAGCAGGGAAAGATTACGGTGGAAGACGGTATACAAATTGGACTATGTACTAACTAGATAGTTGTGACATCATCTGGCCAACCAATACATTTGTGTGTGGGGGGGGAATGGTGTGGTAAAATGGATGCCTTGCGGATCCTTGATAACCCACATCCTCTATTAGATCCCTCAATTTAATTGTTATTCTGCTTACAAACTGGATACAGATGCCGCTTGTTCAAATATATATATTTGAACACGTGGCATCTATCATGCAACATCAATATCAGCATGGTTATGGCAAGAGTGGGTAGGACTTGCTTAAAACACTTGAAGAGCATCAAGTTGCTAGTCCTGCAAACAGAGCAGTACCTTAAAAATGGAAACCTTGATTTAGACCTCTGGTCAGAGTTGCAGGGTTCTTTAACCTACAAGCTGCCGGAGTTGCTTAGAATTTCTGCCTTATGGCTCTTATCAATTTCTGTCTGTTCTGCTTCAGAAACTGACAAAATTTGAAATAATTCAATATGATGTTGACCAGAATGAGGTTGTGAGGAATGAAAAAGGATACTGTGTCCCGGTGGCCCCAGGTATGTTAATAAAATTTATATTTGGACATGAATTGGACTTTGGGAAAGCAAAGTTATGGGCTACTTCCAAAGATGAAACAGGTCTTCCCCTCCCTGCCAGTGGTCAGATACAGACCTTAGGAGTTAAATCCCTGATTGTCTCAATGCCCCATATGAGTTTTCCACTGACCAGGTCACTTGGTCACAGCACTGAATGAGTTGCAAGTTCAGTTTCATGGGAGTGGTCACATGAAACTTCTGGAGAAGTCTGATTCTTCCTACCTCCCATCTCTTGGGATACCAACATGAAGGTTGTACTTCATGCCTGGGAAAAGAGGTTAAAATATGGTATTCTGGAGATTACATATGATAAATTCACAAAAGCCAGCAGTTTATTTTTCCCTGTTTTATGGAGGAAAAATGAAGTTTACATGTTTGGTGTGAATCTGAGCAGTGGAGAGAGGCACATGTTGCTAGTCAGGAAAAGATCGACTGAGTCTGTGCTCAATTATTGGCTTAGATAGAGTATGTACTAATCAGTCATAAGTTCTCCGCAAGCATTGCAATTATGTAAACAAGTCTGTGCACATCCAGTTGCTTTCCAACAGCTACAACAATCAAAAGAACCCAGATCAGTACCATATCTCTTTATTTCCATGTGAAACAAAGACTTGATATTGTAGAAAATGTTTATGTTAGACTGTGATGGCAAAAATCAGAAGGAAACTGATATCTGAGTTTATCGCAGAGTCTGATTTTACTTTGTCATCCACTTTTACAACTACGCCAACAGGACCATCACAGACTTCAACAAATAAACACAAGGTTAAAACTGTCTTCACATGTTTTTCTTCTAGTATAATATATCCCATTAATTGCTAACAATACCATTGTGGGTTCTATATAGGATAAACAGACAAACTTTGTGAAAAATAATTAATAGACATAAGACATAATAGACAAGCATAAGTGATGTCAGAGCATTTTAATTTCCCAGGATGCTCTGTGCATCCAATGAAGTGAGTTAAGCTCACAATTGCCTATAGCCTTTTAATAAAACTGGTTGGAAAAGGTGCTACCAGACTAGATGACTTAAGTGACAGAAAAACTGATCATCCAGCAAAGCCGTGGCCTCTTTTTAGAGATGTGTTTGGAACTAGCATTACCCTTGAGCAGTGTGCCAGTGTGTTTGGAACTAGCATTCCCCTTTGGCAGCCTTCTAACAAGAAGAGCCAAGGAGGAAACCACTAATGTCAGTGTTACTAATTTTACATCTGCAATGATTCATTTAACAAGCATGGCAAGAAAGGTTGTAAAATGGGGCAAAACTCATTTATCAAATCTCTCACTTAGCAACAGAAATTTTGGACTCTATTGTGGTCGTAAGTCAAAAACTATCTGTACAGGTTTAGAAAATGTCTGTTCACGGGCTTAAAAAAGGGAATTAAGCAAGTGCTACCCTTTTAATAGAACCGGCTGCATCAATCAATTTGAAGAAAGCTTCATAACTTTTGGGCTACCAGTAAGAAGGCTATATTAAGTCAGCTTTTCTAGAGCCCTACTTTCCTCTACATAAAAGCAACTGCTTGAATGTAATTTATTACTTTTGAGAATTAAAAACATTTTCCACATACATATATTATAGCCAGAATTAATCTGACATATTTGTTTTTACTAATTTACCAAACTAAATGAGTAAATCAATCTTTGATTATTGCTGAAAATGTTTTAGAATCTTTTCTGGAAATGGAAATAAGTGGAAATAATGTCCTGGCTCAAGAATGAATATTAATTGATTAATTGATTCCGAATTGCAGGCGAAACAGGTTTACTAGTAGCCAAGATCACCAAGAGGACTCCCTTCTATGGCTATGCAGGAGATCCTGAGAAAACAAAAAAGAAGCTTCTCCATGATGTCCTAGAGAAAGGAGACAGCTACTTTAACAGTGGTGACCTCTTGATGCAAGACCACGATGGATTTATATATTTCCAGGACCGAGTGGGAGATACTTTCCGGTGAGTCCCACAGGCACTAAAAGCTGATCTGCACTCTCTGCTTACTTCCACCTTTTCAGTATTTTTATAAATAAGTCAAGGTGGCAGACATATCTAAAACTTCTTCTTTCTCCTATTTTTCCTACAACAACAACCCTGTGAGGAGGATTGGACTGAGAGAGAGTGACTGGCCTAAAGTCACCCAGATGGCTTTCATAATTGAGGCAGGATTAGAACTTATGGACTCCTGATTATTAAATTGACATTTCCCCTTTTTTGGAGCAAACAAGACAGTCCTGCCTGCCTGCCTGCTATTTTTTTATTCTGTCATATGTTAAAGTTTCTATTCCAATTGGCCAGTGTGTGTTTTCCTTTCAGCAGCCATTTTACACTGGGCTGCTGGGGGGGGGGGTGTCTCTTTTCTAGGGTTCGGTGGAAGAGAAAAAGAAGGTGGGAGTCCACCAATGAAGGGCTGTGCTAATCACTATAAAAGCAGCAGACCTGGCTATTACTGTGGGCACAGTGGCAGAAGAGAATGAAACCCAGAAAAGGCTTTTTTAAACTGCCTTCATTTCCAGTTGGTGCCCAGGAACAAGAGCTGAATACAACGATAGGCAACCTTTTGTCTGCAGAATCTGCATTCCATATATCTGGATATGACGTGAGAACCCTAACTGGACAGAGTCACACTGTAAACAATTCCTTCCTTCCTTCCTTCCCTCCTTTTATTAGTTTATTTTATTTTATTTATTTTATATTATTATTATTATTATTATTATTATTATTATTATTATTATTATTATTATTATTATTATTATTATTATTATTATTATTATTATTATATGTGCAGGTATGTGTGCTAAACTAATGCAGAATTTTAGTGATGAATAAGCAAAAAGTTTCCAAAATCCAAACTTCAGATGAATGTGGTTTCTAGACTTAGAAAGACACAGAAATATAACAGCTTGAACATTTCAAAGAGGGAAAGTAGCTCAGTAAATAAGTTGGGGACAATATTGGGAAGCAACACAGAAGGGCTTCATCTGAGGTTTACAATCATGTTTTAGTAATAAATGAAGTTATTTTTTGGGCAAATTCAGTTATAAAAGTGGACAGATGGTGGTAATAACTTCTTTTTCACTGTATTGTAGTTGGAAAGGAGAGAATGTGGCTACTACAGAAGTTGAGACAATCCTTGCTATGCTGGAATTTACTCAAGAAGTAAATGTATATGGAGTACCTGTGCCAGGTAGATCAAAATATATTCTTTAAGAAATCTATCTTTAGTGGCTGTAAAAGAATAATGCCCAGAATCATAACAGGCATTGCATGACCTGTCAGACACAATCCTTAGGGACGTTGCTCCCATTGAAGCATAATAGGGAACTCAAATATTTCTCAAATGGTTCACAACACTTGCTAGTAAAAAGTGTAGTTTATTGCAAAATACCATTCTAATGTATGTAGATAGTGCCGATTACAAAAACTGAAGCCAAGAATTAGAAGATGTTTTAATAATGTTTCAATAATTAACATAATATTTAGACAAATGATGTTTTTTTAACCACCTGAATAAGGCAGATTTTTGGGAGGGTGGTGGCAGTAGGATGGCTATAGAATAGGTTCCCTAGACAGGGAGGAAACAGGTTTAAAGACAAACATATTCCAAAAGGAGACTGTATGGATTTTAAGTTTTGGCAGAATGATTAGGAATGGTTACATGATTATTGAATATCTATGTTTCTGTGGGTGTGTATTTACATATACCAAGACCTTATAAGATTACCTAGTCTTTGTTCAAATTTTGATGTTTTGGTTCTTGTTTTTATTTTCAAAGGGAAACAGAAATAGAGGTTGCTAGGTTATGCATTGTTACCAACCTTCTTTTGTTGTTTTATATTTTACTATGATTCATAGTAGTTGCAGGAAAATAAAAATTGCAGGGTTGTCTTTGGTAGCCAGATTTTAGAGAACATTTAAGAGGGCGGGGTATGAGTTCTTTTTCAATCTGTTTCATTAAGATTAGATTTGGACTGAACAGTCAGTTCAGAAGTCCTTTCTGTTGTGTCATTTGAATCATCTTTTTACATGGACAACTCAGTTAAATATTAATTTGTGGTTATTTAGTTATTGAAACATTGATGCTACGTTGAACTGTATGCAAGATCTTTTTCAGTCAAATGGGCCATACTTACCGGATGACAGTTGTTATCCTGCACAGTTACTGTTTGTATTAGAACAGGTATATTAAATTCTTAGAACATAAATATGGTTCAGAATGGAAAAGGAGGTCTTCTGGGTGACAAACTTTAAGTTCCTGCCTAGTTCCCACAAAATTGCCCAAAGTCACACTGCCAAAATAAGTTATTCTGGCAATCATGTTTGCAGTGAAATTTCTGCTGTTTTCTGAGGTTTGGATGTTTTTAAGGGCAGGCATGTCTCCTTTATTCAGTGCTCTTGTAAGTTTGAACAGTTGCTAAACTAATGATCATAACTTGAGGACTTCCTATAATACAGTAGAAGAAAGTATCGGCTTACTTTTATACCTATCCATTTTATCCATGGGGTTTTAGGTGCTTCCTTTATAGCTTGCACTATTTTACATCACACCAGGGTAAAGTGTTTATGTAAGTATTTATTTCTTCCTTTTACAATGAATGGGCTCCTGTTGACTCTTCAAAGGGGGGTTCTGGAATTCACAGAAGAAAAACAATTGGAAGGCAAAGGGCTAAGTCAACCTCTTTTCTCTTGCTCTTCCTTCAGTGCAAACCTGTGTCTTTCTATTCTGAAAAGGCATTTGGACATTCTGATATTTTCTAGGGCACGAAGGAAAGATTGGGATGGCAGCAATACGATTAAAGGAAGGGGGATCCTTTGATGGAAAGCAGTTATATGAACATACCAAGAATTACTTGCCAAACTATGCTATACCTCACTTTATTCGCATCCAGGTGAGACTCCTCTCTGTTCCCTTGTTGTTTTACTGATAAGTTGATATGTGAATAAACTTTGATAGGATTGATAACAATTAAAAAGAGCACCCCCTGTTTGGATAGAATTTATGAGTGAAAGGAAATTTAGATCCTGCTTTTGCCTTGATTCGATGTGGGTTGTCTTAATACAGTGTTTCTCAAACTTGGGATCTATACGTGTGAACTTCAACTCCCAAAATAGCTGGATGGGGAATTCTGGGAGTCGAAGTCCACAAATTTGTCAAGACCATGTGGCACATTACTATTTCCTCCAGCAGCCTCTTGTAACTCCCCAGCTTCTGCTGCCTAAGGTAACCTGTTCCTCTGCCTCATCATAAAGCCGATCCTTCAAATTTGTTATCAAGGTGAGTGATGGGATTCAAGAACCTATCCTACTATTGCAGCAAAACATGCCTAACCAAGGCAAAGTATATATAATGTGGCACAGTTTTAATCAAAACAGCAGTTTTGTAAGAAGGATTTAAATTCTTCTATCATTTTTTAATCTAAATCAGCTTTCCAAGCTGATGTTGGTCCCGAAATGGACAATAATATCAGTGCTTGTGTTGTACTTATAGGGATTTTTTTAAAATGATGGTGATATGCTTGCTGCTTGCACTAGGAAAATGAACTTGTTCCATCTTATACAATATCTATGATGTGCTATTTACCAGTCTGATGCAAATGAAATTCTCCACTTCATCCACTCCATCCTCCACACTCACATCACTGCTGAGCACTCTGGAGAAAGTGCAGCGTGTACTTGAGAATAAGGGCGTCTTCTGCCATGTTTGGTGTGCTTTAGGAGAGAAGTGAAATGATGGGTTGATTTTCTCCTTTTCACCACAGGAGGCCTTAGAGATCACAGGGACTTTCAAGCAGCGCAAAAATCAGTTGGTGAAGGAAGAATTTGACCCTATCACCATCACAGAACCCCTATTTTTCTTGGACAATTCAGAAAAGAGCTTTGTGCCACTGACTCTGCAGATCTACCATTCCATCACAGAGAAGAAGCGGAAACTCTGAAAAGGACTTCAAGAGATATCACATCATCATTTTTGGTGGCATAGCAACCTAGGAATGCAGCTTGGTGTTTCTTGACTGTAACCTAAGAGTGGAGCAATTATCCTGGATTAATTTTTTTTAATTTTCCAGCCTGGGACAGGTATCTTCTATATCAAACTTGAGGATATTTAGAAAAGTTAATTTTATTTTTATTCTTTTGCTTTCCCTATGAAGAGCCTTTCTATATTTGTGTGAGCTGTTTGCTCTGCAGTAGATGGAGGTAAATATGTGTATGCATTACAAGACGTATGAAATGGGCATCCTGTGTCTCAACAGTATGGCAGGCATTGTGTTCCACTCAAGTGCTTCACTTTGCATAACAAAACTTGTGCACTTTTCCTATGAAGGGTAACTGGAATAGCCAACTTCATCTTAAAAGAAGGTTCATACGCTTTGGTACAAATACACAGATCTCCTGCACATTGATATGATTTATTTCTCATAGTCAATTTTTAAAATTATTACAAAGAATAATCTCATGACAGTTAAAAAAAACCTGTTATAATTTAAATTCAGATAAACAGCTTCCAACCTCAGAAAAAATGTTTTGATTATTATCTCTTCTCTCTCTAGTTTATTGTATGTGGAGAAAATATAGAATATTCTTTTAGCTTACCTACGACAGAGAATGCCTTAAGTAAGGCAATAGAATAAATAAAATTCCTTCATCTAGTAAGGCTTGTGCATTCATTCATGAAATTCAATTCAAAAGAGCAAGTTCAGAGTGGCCAGACATAGGACAAGTGCTGGAAAGCATACTTGATTCTACAACAGTACCTGTGGCCATTCAGTTCATTGGGGGAAAATATTAACATTTACAGATTCCCAATCCTGTAGCCTCCAGATGTGGGATCTGTCAGGCCTAAAACCAAGAATAACACATAGTAATACTTCCAAACCAAGTTCTTTATTGTTTAGACACAGACAAAATCTTGCCAGATTGAGCTCTCTAATATTTGCATCCACAGTATACTTTGTGAACTGTTAGGGAGGAGGTGTTTTCACCCTTTTTCTGACACACAATGTCTTCTCTAGGCTCAGTTGCCTCTTACTGCTCTGGAATGCATTTCCTCCATCCTGAGGATCCATCTTCTCACTACATTCCATCACAGGACCAGAAGGCCATTGCTGAGAAATTTGGAACTTGAAATTTGGAAATATTGATCTAAAAAAATAGTTGTAAGTTCCATCAGCAATTTTACATCCTGATTATTTCCACTTTCCAATCTCTAGAAAACACTTCAGAATAGTGGTGTCATAATTTTAATTTCTGCTAAAACGATTAAGAGCGCAAAAATATGATTAGTTCAGTCACCTGCCCTGGAACTAGTGCAAGCACCAGAGAGTAAGAATCATCTTATCTTTACTCAGCACAAAAGGGAAATTAAGTATGCTACTAGTATCCTTGTCCTTTCCTATTGCTATGATGTGAAGCTATGACTGGAAAGGTAATTTGTAAAAATCCAAGCCACTTGACTGCCATTCGTTTCCTGCAGTTGAGGGTGTCTGAAAGCAAAATGATAGGACAACAATATAGCAGCAGAAATAGGGAGACTATGCAGTAGGCTGCATCATGAGTTTCCACAGTTGAGAAAAGACTGCACACAAGCTTTACAAAATCACTGCAGTGCAGAGGAATCCTCTACCCTCTTCTTGGTTTAAATAAAGCACATCAGAACAGAGGCTGACAAGACTCAGTTGTCAAAACTGTCTGACATCATGTGATTGCACAAATCCAGAGCTGATTCAAAACCAGTGGAAGCCATTGTATGTTTTGCTTCATGAAACTGAATAGCAGAAGCCAATATTAATGAGCTGTAGAGGAATTTAAGGGGAAGGGCTGAGCAAAAAGAATTTTCAGCAGGTAGTTAGATAGCAACAAAGATGTTGCAAGACATGATGACATGGAATTTGGTGCATGGATTTAGAAATATGGATTAGGGCAAAAACTGGATAAATTAGGGTATATGTATAAGCAATATATTGAAAAACAATATATTTGAGAAGATAAAGACCATTAGAATAAATGTGAAAGATACAAGAGGGGTTATAATGGGCTATGCCAACTTTTGTTTGTAAGGAGGAACTTGGATGATGACCCACTACTTCGTGTAGTGCAGCACAAGCCATGGAAAAGTAAAACAATTACTTGATAAATAAGGACAGGACAAATTAGGAAAAATATTATTTTGAATTATTATGAAATGATATGGAAATGATGAATTAGGTTCTTACTAATGACTACAGACATTGAATTAACCTGGTAATGCCTGTGACATTCATATGTGTTGTGTCCTGAGCCTGCAAGGGCAGGCTCGGGACGTTGCAAGAGTCCCGGGCATTTGCAAAAGCTGCCCGGGACCAGACTGAGTGGCGCCGGCCTTGCGCGCATGCGCAAGGCGGGAAAAGACCGCATTGTGATTGGTTGAATTTGCCCGGGGATCTGCAGGTATAAATAGAGGCCTGCGTGCTTCTGCTCGGGTTGTTCGTAGATTGGAAGCAGAGAATAAAGACTTGTTAGAAATGCTTCGTCTCAAGCGCCATTATTCTCCGGACTTAACACTGGCGACGAGGGTGGAATTCAGTCTATACAGCTAGGAAAGCTTGAAGACTCACCCAAAGAAGTCCAGAAGAGAAACGGCGTGGAAGTCAGCGTTATCCTGCCAGTACGAAATCACTGGAGGTGCGTGCGGCTGAAGAAGAAGACCCTGATCCTCGATCATGGCGAAAGTTGGGCGTTTAGCGGAATTCGACGTCTCTCACCCCGAGAGGTGGGAATCTTACATTGCAAGAGTCGAGACGTATTTCCGCATAAACCAGATTCGGGAAGAAGGCTTAAAGGCTGCCACATTGTTGTGCGTTTGTGGGCAAGATGCCTTTGAGATCGCCGAGAGCTTAATCGCCCCGGACTCGCTGGAAACGGTATCATACTCCGATCTGAAGAAAGTTTTAAAGGAACATTTCCAGCCCAAGCAATCTGTCATGGCTTGGAGGCACACATTTCAACAGAGAGATCAGCAAGTTGGAGAATCAGCAAAAGAATACATTGCGGCTTTGAGAAGAGCAGCTAAACCGTGCGACTTCAAGGACTTAGAGGAAAGACTGCACGATCGTTTTGTGTGCAGACTGAGGAACACAGACTTACAGCAGAGGCTGTTTGCCAGGGAAGATGTCTCCTTCCAAGATGCTCTGTGAGAGGTTTCGGCTGAAGAAGCTGCAGGTGGAGCGGTCAAGAACATGCGGCCTAAGCGAAACGCTCCAGAGACCGCCACTATTCACAAGGAAGACGTGCGCGAGGATTCGGAAGAAGATCCTGAAGAAGAGGTGGACAAGCTTTACCAAGCAGCTGGGAGGAGGTCCAAAGATCGGCAGGACAAGGGCCCAGCTGAGCTTCGTTGCCTCGGATGTGGTGGACGCCACAAGCGAGCGGAATGTCGGTTCCGTTCCGCCATTTGCCGAGCGTGCGGGAAGAAAGGCCACATCGCTGCGGTCTGCCTGAGTCGACAGAAGGTACAACCGAAGGAAGAATTGAATCTGAAAGGTACCAGGGTGCCCAGTCAACACAAGGTGGGGTTCTGTGCAACACGCCGGAACATTTTAAGAATAGGCACACACAAACCCCTTAAAAAGAAACTATCACTTAAAGTGAAATTGCAGGGAGTTCCATTATCGATGGAACTTGACATGGGATCTGCCCTATCCATAATTTCCCTCAACACATTTCACAAAATCTGCAGCAGCAGTGGCCAGCGAGTTTCGTTAAGGCCTTCTAATGTAATCCTTATGGATTTCCAAAATTCTCAAGTGTGCGTTAAGGGGGAGGCCACCCTTCAAGTACAGTTCAAGAATTTTGCAGGCCCCCTAAAAGTGTTGGTAATGGGGGGTGAGCGAACGAGTCTCATTGGACTCGATTGGTTTGAGGCCTTGGGAATACAAGTAACAGGGCTACATAAATTGCAAACAGAGACCCTTGCAGACGTATGCAAGGAGTTTGCAGATGTGTTCAGTTCTGAACTAGGGTCCTACACCGGATCTCCCGTTTCACTAAAGCTAAATCCAACGGTACAGCCCATCAGGGTTAAACCTAGGAGAGTACCCTTTGCTCTTAAGAGTAAGATTGACGCTGAACTGGACAAATTGCTCCAGCAAGGCATTCTTGAGCCTGTAGATTCCAGCCCGTGGGAAACCCCCATTGTAACGCCTTTAAAGGCAAACGGGGACATCCGGATCTGTGCTGACTACAAATGCACTCTAAACAAGGCCCTACAGCAGCATGCTTATCCTGTGCCTGTTGTGAGCCATATTCTGGCTTCTCTCAAGGAGGGAAATTTTTTTACTAAGCTTGATCTGGCTCAAGCATATCAACAGCTGCCTGTTGATGATGCAACAGCTGAGGCCCAAACTATTGTCACCCATCATGGGGCGTTCAGGGTGAAGAGGTTACAGTTTGGGGTGAATGTCGCTCCTGGCATTTTTCAGAGTGTAATGGAAAACACCCTGAGGGGTATTCCTGGTGTATGTCCTTATTTTGATGACGTTCTCATCGCAGGAGACTCTCCACAAGTGCTGGCTGAGCGTTTAAAGGCTGTTTTACTTCGTTTCCGGAGAGCAGGTCTTAAACTAAAACAGGACAAATGTAAGATTGGTGTGCACTCCACTGAGTTCCTGGGGTTCAGGATAGATGCGCAGGGTATCCACCCGTCTGATGCTAAGCTCAAAGCTATTCAGAAGGCTCCAAGCCCCAAGTCTAAGGGCGAATTGCAAGCCTTTTTGGGTTTACTGAACTTTTATCATGCTTTTCTACCTCATAAAGCTGCTATTGCTGAACCTTTGCACAGAATGCTTACTGGCGCTGGACCAAAGTCCATGAGGCCAGTTTCAATGAGGTTAAAGCCTTGCTTACTTCCAATGCGGTGTTGGCTCATTTCAATGAGCAGTTGCCAGTGTGTCTGGCTTGTGATGCCTCCCCCTATGGTGTGGGTGCTGTTCTTAGCCATTTGACGGCTGATGGGACTCAGGTCCCTGTGGCTTACTACTCTAGGACTTTATCTGCTGCTGAGCGCAACTATGCTCAAATTGATAGGGAGGCTTTGGCTCTCGTGGCTGGAATTAAAAAGTTCCATGACTTTATTTATGGCCGCCACTTTACGGTCTTTACTGACCACAAGCCTTTACTGGGGCTCTTCACTACCTCCAAACAAACTCCTCACATCCTGTCCCCTCGTATGCTGCGTTGGTCCATCTTCCTCTCAGCTTATGACTATTCACTGGTCCATAAGCCTGGTAAGGAAATGGGTCATGCAGATGCTTTAAGTAGGCTGCCATTGCCTACTGTGGAGCCTGATCCCGCTCCTGCTGTACACATATTGTCCATTCAGGAGTTGCCTGAATGTCCCCTCAATGCTAGGGATGTGGCTGCTGAAACTGCCACTGACCACACGCTCAAACGCGTGTTGTCATGGGTCCTGTCTGGGTGGCCTGACAGGTGCCCTGCGGAGGACTTCCAACGTTTTTGGGTCAAGAGGCACAAGTTGTCCACTTTCAACGGCTGCCTCCTCTGGGGATCGAGAGTTGTGATTCTGGCCTCCTTGAGGGCTAGAATCTTGATTTCCTTACATGAGGGCCACCCGGGAATAGTCAGGATGAAGGCGCTTGC